TATTTCCGCTGTCATTTCTTGCCTCCAGTTGTGCGGGCTAAAAATAATGTTCACTTATTGTAACCGACGACATTACTCCTAAAAGCCTCATCACAATCCTAGTAGGTTGCGCGGACTTTCTATTTGATCCTGACGCAGTAACTGAGTAGAAATGGGAAAGTATCGAGTTTTATCCTATTTCAGGCTATGGATACTTGATGTTGAAAAGTGTTGACTGTCCTGTGAGCCTTGACTTCCAGTGAGTCTCCTACCGATGCAAGTCTATAATAGGATCTTACTTGAAATCTCTCGAATTTCTTTTATGTCGGGTAAGATGGTTAACTGATGCATATCCATGCACCCAAACATTCTTATTTCAAAGACTGGCATTATGTTACCAGTTCTTGTATACAATCATAAATCCACACTTGTGTTTATCACCCATTATTCTGTAAAGTAAATCAGTCCATTTTTAAAGTTGTTCCTTTGATTATATTTCAGGTATTATGGAATAAATTGGGTTTGGACTATCCATTAACGATAGGAAAAAATCGTTTTATACCCGACGAGAGATTTCATGTACAGTATAAACCGCCGAATCGTTGGCATTTAGTTATTGCAAACGCTCAGTTAAATGATACTGGTGTATATTCTTGTACGACTGGCTCTGGACTTGGCAACAGCGCCAGCAATACAGCAGAGTCTAGTGGTAAATCACATTCAACAAAGGAAGAAGAAAACTTGGAGGCGTCTGTGACTAGAAGACGTCAATCGAAAATGAAGATAACAGATGATACAGCAAAAAGAAAACTGAAAGGTCGTGAATATTACGTCTCAGTAGGTAAGTAATAACGGTTATTACTAAATGGTGTATTTTTAAACACTTACATTGATCGATATGCGCGATTTGCTTTACTGTATGAAATTAAAACAAGTGAAACAATGGCAAGGTTGAATGATGAATATATCTGCGTGCATAAACCACCAAATATTTAAAAAAAGGCGAGCAGGTTTACCGATGCCATACAGTACTCTGGAGACTGGCGTCAGTCAATAATTCTCAGCTTTCAAATGTTGGTTTGCAGGAGATTGATTGATTTAAATTTTGATCACGACCTGACTTCAGATAAGGAACCAATAAGGAACAAGAGGGTATTGACGAGCTGTTTCGTTCTTTTATGGGACTCTTCAGCAATACATATCGATGACCATGTCTGCCAGGGATTCTTCCAGGGGGTTCTGGTTACAAGGCGAGTCGCTGATCATTTGACAATGGGGACAGAATCTATCGTCTTATAAATTCTAAACTCTTTCAATTTGTGACGAGATCATCAGCCAGTGCCATCACCGATTATCTGTCCTCACGGCCAGTTTCTTGGACATCACCAGTCACGACTTCTCACTAGAATTTCAGGCAGATTCATCCTATGTTCAGTCAATTGTTCTTTAACTGAATTCATATATAATAAAACTGGGACGTCATTATTTTATCGAGTCATATCATCAGTAGTAGGTATTCGCCGTATATCGAAGTAAGCAGTATTTGGGCATCGTGCTTATCACTTCTCGTAGTCTTTATTGACAGGTTCCGTTTAGACACGCTAATGAATAATGCGGTCAAATGTGAAAAACATGTTTATGGAGAATGCGATCAACACTCAAGAAATCAACACTTTCAATGATACTTAGATTATGGGATTTGTAGGTATTTGGATTATTGTAATTTCTACAGCCCACTGATGGCTACTGAATAGATATTCCGAAGGTGTAGCGAAAAACTATGAACAGCGGGTCCACTATGTCAATATGAAATGGATGACAAAGATATAAATCACGTGTAACTGAATTCCAGCCAAAGTTGCTGAATGGTCAACGAGCTTAGTTGCGTAACCTGAATTCCTCGAGTTCGATACCATGTAGGGTTGTGGGTACGCACTACTGAAGAGTCTTGTACTAAGCAGAAATAGCCGTGCATTCCTGCCTGATTTTCAATGGTCTATGTAACTGATTTTGGTTCAAATTAGATTTCAACGATGACAATACTGACAATAATGATAGCTTTACTCTGAAAACTGCAATTACACACAGTACAGAATCCTCAGCGTGTTTCCATGTAAGGTATTTACTCCTTATACATAATCGATAATATTTTATTTGAATCAGTACTGTTCTGTCTGTGAGTCGGTGGCACACCTATAGAATGCTCGCCGACCACGCAAGTGGCTTGGGTTTCGATCTCCAGCCGACACCGCACTCCTTTACATCGCTAAGCCAGTAATAAGACTGGTAAACAGGGGAGGTCAGGCATGAGGTTAGCAACCTCATCCTGTATTAACCAAAAACACTACTACTGAAACTTCAAATCTCTTACCTGAAGCCCTTTGTTCCACTGAGAAAGATAAGGAAAAAAAAATGTTCTGTTTGAAACACGCTGCAATAGTCAACATCTATCTTCTTTCATTTCCTTCAACAACGTCAGAGCAGTAGATTGAAACCGAATTAGAAATAGTCACGCGTATAGATGTAACTGTATTTTTGAAGAACATAAATTAGTTGTGATTCGCTAGAAATAAATAGAAAATTTGACTGTTAAAAGATTTAAACAGGTCACTGTTTTAAGTAAACATGGTAAGCAGTTCAACTGTTGTAAATAATAATGAATGGATCCGTTTGAAACAACATATACGAGGTGAAAATATTGTTTCTGCTAGATGTTATCACTATTAATCAGAGATCAATTATTTCAGTCCGGCAAACTGAATCAATGCGGTACACAATATCAACTCAGACAAATAATAAAGGACACCCATTGAGCAAAAGATGGCCCTCGTTGCCCCACTGGCCCATTGGATAATGCTTTGGTATTTGAAACGGTTGACACAAGGTAAGAGTCTTAGTGGAAACACCTTAACTCCATAGAAATATGGATACACTCACATGACGAGTCGTAAACAGGACGAAACTCACCATTCACCGTCAATCAAAATAGCAGCAGAATAACCTCTGTTATCGACGAGGTTAAACTCGCATAGCCTAAATCACAGTGACCTTGTATCACTAATCCGAGCTCAGCTGCAAGAAAAATCACATAAGAATTAAAAATGTATTAGGAACATTGTAGGAATGATAATAAACTGGATGATGGTCTCTTTTTGTGTTGCAAAAATATCTCTTATTTTCTCAAAGAATAATCTGCAGAGAATCTGTAGCATAGTTGAAACATGTATTGATCCAGGTGGTTGCAAATCTTAGCATTTTGGGATCCATTGATACTTCTGAGTTTGTCATTCAACCTCACCCACAACCCTTCAGTGGAATTAGTGGCGGGGCATGTGATTGGATCCACAAGATCGAAGGAGTGGTTAACACGATGGTAAATATAACTCAAAGATGACAGTCCTTCAGATCCCCTTCATTCTTCTGTTTGCAGAGTCACTTCTAGCGGTACTAATCGCTGAATAACTGGACTTATTGCTGCAGCACTTTGGTTTTGTGTTGTTTCCATGAAACCTTTGACTAGTGAAGTACCGTATATTCCTAGGCAGCCCCGATTGGTTCGTCCTTCCTGCTCTTTTATTATACTTCCTATTTATGGGGATATTTTCATCCGATACAAGGCCTTAATTCTCTCTAACTTACATGATGCTATGTCTCTACAGTTCTGACACCATTCCACGGCAGAGACAGAGTTATTTTCCTTCCTTTAAAGTACCTAGTAGGTAATTAAATTACTGCACCTACCCTCACTATGCGATTTGCTATCATTGTGTAAATGACATACATGTCAAAGTTTACCTCCCACAACTTCGAAATGCCTTGTTGTCATAGTCATCCACAGAATCAAACAAGACTTGGTGACCCTAATTAGTCCATCATTGACACAGTAGTTGAGTACTCTTCATTGCATCTATAATGGCAGGCATAATTTAGATTTAGAATGAGCTTTCGTAAAATTCCCTAAATCTGACTGGTTATTAGAGGTCAACTTCTGACAAAACTTTAACTTCGATAGTTTAAATACATCCTGTATTCTTAATCCTACTTCGTCCTGTGAATATGTCTGATTACTCTCACCTAACTTCAAGTTGAAATAAAACTTAATTTGTTGGAATAGTATGTTGGTTTTTATACAGGTTTTCGTCTTTGAGATTCTGTACACATGTTAAATATTTGTCAAGAGTTTCAAGGTTTGATTAATCAGAAAGTATGTAGGAAAATGTAAAAATAAAATATATAATAATAGTGTAACAGCAGAAGGCAAGATACAGAGACCAAGATATATTTTCAAGTGATCAAACAACTATTTATATAGAATGTTCATATATATATATATACGTATATATATAGCATTCTTTTGCTAATGCAATAGTGAACTGTGGGAATAGTATTCGGACGATAACGCCAACAAATATACTATGATTCTTACTGTGAAAATAATATTCCATTGGCCCAAATTGTCTGTATCACAGCACCACAATATTAGTGGTAGTGATAATAATAATATTACTATTAGTATTAATGACGACATGCACGTCAAACATGCACAGAATATTGACAACACCAAGAATAAGGAATCTAAATCATCACTAGTACTTCCGTACAAAGAAGGAACCTTGGAAACCTTAATGAGAATTTTTTAATAGTGCAGGAATAAAAGTGCCATTCAACCATCCAAATACCCAATTAGAAATAAGCTTTGTCGGTTAAAGGATCAATCCTGTGAAGTCAATTAAACAAAACAATTTAGTTTATCTAATTCTCTGCTGGAATGATTGTCAGGCTAAATAAATAGGTCGAAGTTTGGCTATACCAATCACCACATGCAGTTACACACAACCATACAATAGGACGGGTGGGACAAGATGACAGTTTCAAAATTTAACGTCACAGGGTGGAGATTGATAACAGATGCTTGTTTTATCGAATCAACTGCAAATACGTGAAATACGAATGATTCAACACCTATCCATCCGGATATCTGTGAATTCTCCTACCCCAACGACGACAAATAGGAGAGAAGAAAGAAAACTATAAAACTCAAGTTTCGAAGTCGTGTGATTATAATTGATATGATTATGAAGACAATAAATTTTGTTCGAAACTTTGTCATCCAGTACATAATGCTGTTTCATCACTGAGTGATACATCTAATAAACAGACTTATATGGAATTGCATTCTACCATAGTGTCCAAGTTTTACATCTCCATCTGTTTTTAATTTCCTGTTGTCGTTCAACTTCAATCAAACAAATAATTGTACTCTAGTATAATTATAATTTATTTTGTACGAATTAATCAGGTGCTTTTTTGCTTCCACGTTTCACTTCTAAAGGTTTTAGTCAAAAGAAAAAGAACTGAGGATAACACGTTCAAATTCCTTAGGGTAACAAATAACACAAGATAGTTTAGTTTACCTCAAATTTTCCCTGAATCTTTCTCTATCCGCCTTATGAAAGCTCACTTTTGTGTTGAGAGAAAAGCCGTTGTTAGTCTTCCTGTTGCTTCTTCTATTTGATTATACAATTCTTAGTTTAACTTCTTTCCTTAAGGCTTATTAAAAAATTTTTTTCCTTTGATGCTTATCCCACTATTTCAGTTGAACTCACCACATTATTACGCAAGATATTAATTATTTATAGTCGACTCATCTTTTTTTCAAGTAACTGCTTATTTTTAAAGTATTCAGAACCTTTGCATTATATAGGATTTCCCGTGTGTAGGCATATTGTCTCAGCACATTTAGTTTATTATTCTGAAGTCCCCTATTAACTGACATCATGTTATCCTCTCAATTACGTCATAAATCACTGTGTGTATGCATTTGAACTTCTTTAATTTGTATTCGACTGATAAGAAGCCAGCGAATTAAAATGACAGTCACGTTGAACTTGAAATGTTTAATGAGGACGTCTCTAAGCGTATCTCAAATTGACGGGATTCGAACACCTGACGAGGTATATAAAACACGAAATCTGAGTCAAGTAAAACTTCAACCTACAGAATGTTAGCCAGACAAATACGCAGTCCGGGTTCAATTCCCGACAGACGCAGTACTCAACCCCTCCATCAGTAAGCCCAGAACAAAGGAAAGGTGAGGCATGAGGCTAGCGACCTCATCTCATAGAACAACCGACGACATTGCTAGTGAAACTTCAAAGTCCGTAACCTTTAAATTCTACTTGGAGGCAAAACAACAGGATTGTCTAAAACATGCCGACTAATTAAGTTTTTGTTTAATCACACCCCAAATGCTTGCTAGTATTGTTTACTATAACGTTTAAATGTGGTTTTAAACCGTGGCAAATAACGCTTTTTTAAATTTTGTTTTACTGTTTAGTTGAACCACTGCCATCTGAAAGATATCAAGTTGACGTGCCTATAAGTAAGACATCAATGAAGAATAAAAGTGAGTTTTTATTGATAATTGTTTATTCTTAGTGATTTCATTCTTAAACGCGCTTCACATTTGATATGTGAAAAAAAACCAGGTTCACTGTTTTACTAGACGTATTTATCCCAACTGAGTATGTGGAGCTGTGGCTTGTTGGCTTAAGCTGTTTGTTCCTAACCAGTGTGTGATAGGCTCAAACTCCTCCTCTACGTATTTAGGTTTGGTAGCAACTGGTGGTACCATCAGCAGCAGCACCATTTCAACTACCGAAGAGATGGATCAAGATGTCAATAGAAGGATCGGAAAACCAAGAAAGACCTACATCATTCTAAAATCAGTTTGGAAAGCTACTGTACTCACTATGAGGATCACGTTACTGATTTTCAACACTAATGTTTATTCAGTGACTCCCTTTATATGGTTCACGGACTTGACGCATTACCAAAAACTGTTGAAATAGGCTACTGCAAGGAAAGGATTAGCAGTGAGGAACTACAGCAATAAGCCAACCAACAACCTGTTGACCAACAAATAAACTGAGGGTAGTAGAGATTGATTGGACATATGCTGACGAGATTGGGCGCCAGGCAGATCCTGGAGTGAAACTAGAGTGGGAAACAACTAGTTGGGCAACTGTGACTGTGGGAGGAGAGGTTGAGAGCTTATGGGCAGTCGCAGAACCAGGTAAAGACGACTTTAGAAAAGAGGATGAAATGAAGATATGCCATTGACGACTTATTTTCCGCTCGGAACTAACTGCATTCAATTGCAAGTGGTTGAATATACATATATTTTCTGAGCCACGATTACTGATAAATTGATGAATTCATCGCACGTAGTTGACAGGAGAATGCAGCGTTTTAGTTTGCTCATAAAAAGTATCTTCAGTGGGTCTCCAAGTTTGAATTACAATACTACTACTTATCTAGTTTTCCAGGAAACATTGGACTCTGTCTAATGAGACTAGAAACAATGCATTGATTACCCCAAAGCACCCAATCAACTTGTCAGTCATACTTTTGCAGAGCTCAAAACCCTCAACGATAACTTCGCTCACTGCATTATTGTGTGACGCTGATTTGAATCTATAAAATATCACGTGTTTTGAGGTTGCAAATATGGTTGCTTGACGGATACCAGTTATCTCCAAATAGCTAAAACCATTCACATATGTCTCCAGGCTTTCTAACCATAAATACGCTTTTGATTTATCAGATTTCTAGTGAAAAGTTTTGCGTTTCCATAATTAAAATAAGCCTCAAGTCATATACACATACACACATATACACGCCAAAGAATCAAGTGGGATTAGACTTGGCAGACAGTTGATTTTTTTATCGTGTCACATATTCTCAGCGAAATAATCACGTATTATAATGTAACACAGCTGTCAACTGGTTACATAATGAAACATGAATCTGATGATAAGGCATAGAGAAAAGTTGAAAATAAATAAGAGATTTCAAACCTTATCATTTATGAAAGAAAGAAGAATTGACATGACTAAAAATTGTTGAGAAATGGGGCTAATTAACAGCGCTTTCCAGCGATAAGCAGCAACCAATGAAAGGAAAATGAACTAAGCATTATTGGAGCTGTTATTTCTCTATAATTTAGGACAGAAAATAAGTTTAAAACTACAACATTGTAATATGGATCGAAGCTAATATCATTACATCTCATGACACAGATGTAATCATGAATGAACTAATATTAATAATAATTTACATTATTAATGAGTAATTTCTGAGACTGGCATTAATTTGGATATCTACTACACTCAGCATAAAGAACAAGATTCGGACTTTCAGAAGAAATGTGAAGTCAGTCCTTCTATGCTTGTCGGAAACTCGCAACGAGCGTTACGAAGAGGATTTCCAACAGGTTGCAGATTTTTATCACTGGCTGCCTTCGCCGGCTTCACAGTGAAGATCGAATGGCCGAAAATAACTAGTAACAGGAAATTATGGGAATAAACCAACCAAGAACCGATCGCTCAACAAATATGTAGGAGAAAATGGAAATGGATGGATCGGACATACATTGAGGAGGCCGTTGAATGACATCGCATGCAATACAGGCCATTGCTCGGGTGGAATCCGGATGAGAAGAGACAAATGGGCCGTCGGTGTGACAGTGACATGGAGGAGATCGTGTGTTGATGAAGAGGAGATGAGAGAGACAGTTAAAGAGGACAGTGTGATATAAAAGGAAGTGGAGATGTGTTGTTGAAACCCTATGGTACACTCAGAACCCAAAGGAATAGTAATAACTTCTTTCATAGCTTATTCACTCTTTTCTTTGTTCATGGATTATCTAATACTCTAACGGGAATACCAAGTAGACTGATATCAATCGCTTCTACTTGAAGGACTGTAACTCATTCAATAGAAAACTTTCTCGTTAAACTCTCTAACCACTTATAAACTGTACCTAGAAGAAGTTCCAGGGTTCATTAATTTTACAAGAAACAATCATATAAAAACACCATTAATGCATGCAAAGAGCTCGACGTCTAGTTGTTTTCTCTGAGGTAAATGGTTAAGTTGTGAAGCTTTCATCGCCTTCCTACACAATGTCTTCAGCACAGACTACACAGCATGAATTGTGCTTTAGCGAATTCTTCGTGAACAATCTCACATGTTTACTTTCTACGTGACCGGTTTTTTCTGGATATTTTCCCACTTATATGGGTAGTGACCTAAAAGCTGACCTTTTTTCCACGTAATTCCTTTTGTATCGATTGACGCATCTAATCTTTGTCAGGGTTTCTGCTTATTGCAGATTCATCTAAGTACCAGGTTTCTAGAAATTCCGTGGTATGTTTTGACTTTTGCTTCGCTTCAGATTGGTACACTTTCTCAGATAAATCAGAATCCATAGTTTTCTGCATGCTTGTTCGTAATAGAATGTATACTACGTCTTTTGACAAGCAATTCATGTCTTTATTTATTTATTTTTTATTTTAATTTACAGCTTGATTCCACACCGTATTTTCAGTACAAGTGTGGAATTTTCAGCATGGATATCGGTAGCCCAAATTCAGGCTGACCATAGATATCAGGTGTGCGCCGGCAGGGGATCGAACCTCGGACCATATGCATGGTCGGCGAGAGTACTAACCACTGTGCCACCGTCGCTGGATATCTGCTTTGACCGATGGAATGTTTTCTGGCTGTTGCAGTTTTCTTTGTGATTGATATTGGACTTTTCTTCTGCTGGCGTTGGATTAGTATTTTTGGTTCTTGTTACGATAAAAATAAATATTATTATCTACTTCGGTTCTGAGTGTAAAATATAGTTTCAACAAGACACCTCTATTTCATCGTGTTTTCTGTAGTCCTCTTCAACTACCTACACTACCGACCCATAATTTCTAATCTCTTTCTAATTGGATCTCCTGCATGTCTAAGTGAACGCGTACCTAACTCACTGTTTTGTTTTCGGGGCTCTATTAGAAGTTATACGTAATGCATGATGTCACTCACCTGTCTCTTTAGTTCATGTCCAATCCGGCTTCGTGTTCTTCGGTTTTATTTCGGTTAGTCTATTGCCAGATTTTTGTTGTAGCCTACTGGAAATGTCTACGGTGATGCGCACACTAAGTATCTGAACCACACAGAAAGAGTCACTGAAATGATATTAGTCTTCAGAATTCGAATTCTGTTCTTCATGCTTAGTGCGGTAGATTTCCGAACCGATTTCAGATTGATGGTCTGTCTGGCTTTTCCGATCGTAGCTTTATTATTCTCATCCTCTTCGACTGTATTTGAAACCATGCTGCCTAAAGAATTGAAAGAAGCGAGTTGCTTCACATTTTAACGTTGACAGTGATTAATGCCTGTTGTTTCCGTTGGTTAGGCATCCTCATCACTTCTTTTTGCACAATTATCTGGGGTATATCTGTATTTACGTATTTCTTGGGATAAGGGTTAGTTTATTTTCTCCTGGGACACAAGTGTAAGTGAATAAACGATTATAGCTAAAACATAAATGTATATATATGTTATATATGTATTCACTAGTGCCGGAAAAACAACGAACTGAAATCCCATCTGTTTATCAGTATGCATATTTCATTTTTGATTTAATGAATTTCCTTATATAAGAAATGAAATATATATGTATATTTAAAAAGGAATATCAGCATATAAGAAATAAGATTGCTGATAAATTGTTGCGGGGAAACTTATATAAACAACAATTCGCATTGCATTCTTCACTACTAACGATAAATGTTCTTCATAAGAAGAATTTTTAGAATTCACGAATAAACGGGACAGTTTTTTAACCATCCAATCCAGCTATTTCGTTATGATCGGTTGGAGAATTTCATCATGAGCTGACATTGGTTACAGGACCATTGGAAGCCTGCAGGACGTAATGGAGAGCCAACCGTTTCATCCTATTTTGCGACTCAGAACACACCCACCATCAAGGTTTGAACTCAGGATCTTCTGGTTACAAGGCCAGCAAGCTCGTAGACCACTAAGTCACTCGGACCCTATCCAGTGGCCAGCTAGCCCATGAATTCTCACTTCTGTCGATTCAAGACATAGCAGGACCACTTCTCACTGTCTTCTTCGATGAGTAACTGTCTTAACCTTTAGCCTGCTGCACCCTACTGGCGACGGCTTCAGACTAGAACCCCAGGTAACTGCCTGAATAGGGCCAGTCACCAGAAGCTCCTGGGTTGGGGCACTAGTGGTGGGTGCGTACTGCTTAAGACTTGCAAACTAGGACGAAACAGACGGCAGTCCAGTACTCCCTGGCAGGTTTTTCAATGGTTCTGTAACTAATGTCAGCTCATGATGAAATCCCCCAGCCAATCGAAGAAAATACTTACTAAACCAATAATTCTTTATGAATCATCTATTGGACACGTTAAAAAATTGCAATCCAGAGGAACTAACACGTCAGTGGTTCTGAAATATAAAAGTAGAGCAGTTGGGGAAAACCAGGCAAAAGACGCTGTGTTCGTAGAAAAATAAAAGAAGTGTAAGAAGGTTAAATAG